ACCACTGCACTCGAGCCTGGCAACAGAGCAAGACACTGTCTCAAAAAAAAAAAAAAAAATTAATTTCTAATTATGAGTAATCAAATATGTCTGGTACCAACATAAAGTTTGAGAATCATTGGACCTTACCACCATTTCCAGGTTCATCTACTCATTCACTCACTTTTCAGACATTTCATTGATCATCTATTACGGGCCTCTCATTCATCCTCCATTCCAAGTACACTGGACACCTTTCTGTATTAACAAATATGCTCCGTCCTCTACTTTCTCACTGTCTCGACTCTAATATTGCCTCTACCTGGAATGCCTTTCCTCTCCATTTATTCTTGCTGAAAACTGTAACTATCCTACAAGAAACAGCTGTATGAAAAACCTTCCCAGATCATTCTCTCACCCTCTCGCGTTTCCTGTCTCACAATTTATTTCATCCTCCTCTGTGCTCTCGGTGCATGGTGGGGCTTGGATTACAATAGTCACATTCTCCCTCATGCTATAGTTATTTGTGTACATGGACTACATTTTATCTTCCTTAAGGGAATCTTTTTATTCTACACAGAGGTTGAATATAATAGGCATTGAATCACTGAAAGTTTCATTGAAAGAGAAAACTTTTTCTTTGAAGGTACCTAGCCTAGAACAACCAATTATAACATCCTGATAAATTCTGACTCTCCTTAAATAAAAGAACGGACAAAATGTCCATATCTAGCTTGAGATACTGCTGACAACTTTTTCTAATAGTGACTATATCAATGGAAACAATATTTGCTTCTGATTCAAGCTTGAAAATAGAAAAAGATAAGCATCTACAACCATAAAAAGGGCCAAGCTATTTGTTGATTTATGGGCTGGTTATCTTAAACTGCCCAGTGAATAGTTACTCGACTCAAACAATTTCCTGAGGGCTGGACTTTGGCAACTTCAAACTATTACATCATGTACAACAGAAGAATTGTATGCTGATAAAGGACAGAGAGTCTTATTTTTCCTACACAAGAACTTAGGTAACTGTCATAAATAACAAATTTCTCTAAAATTTGTTAAAAAGTAGTTGGAAAGAAACAAAAAGAAGGCACATTTCACTTTGTTATAATTGACAAATTGTAAGAACTAAGAAATGACAGCAGCAGGCTATTTAGCCCTTCCTTATAAAGATCCATAGTTGTATAATTTACTGACTTCTAAGGGAGGCAGCATGGTAGTAGAAAGAACATAGTAGTTAAAAGTATAGCCTCTGCAGGGCCAACAATATTGCAGAACCTCAGGAGGTAACATGCTTACAGTAGAGATCCAAAGGGTCCCATTCCTAGATAACATTATGTGAATTATACAACCTGGGGACACAGAATTAGTGGAACAGAACAAGTCTCAGCTCCACCACCTAACACCTGTGTCATACTGACAAAGTTATTAAACTAAGTGTTAGGTACTTCATCAGAAAAAAATGGGATTAATAAATAACATCTATCTCATAGGATTGTTATAAGAATTAAATAATGTAAATATGTATAATTAGCCCAGTGCCTAACATGTGATAAGTGCAGAATAAATGTTTTGATGATGATCATGATGAAGATAACGATAATGAAGAATAAGATGAATCTACATTCCAATCCTGGCTCCATCACATTCAGGCCATTTACTACCTATAATAAATATGATGTGCTAAAAGGATGGAACAAAATAATGTATGCAGAATACGCAGGGTCAGGTACAAAACAGGAGTTCCATAAATAGTATGATTATGATTACTGACCATCCTCTATACCCATTCTCTCTCTCCCTCTCTCTCATTTTCTCTCTTACAGGAAAACACACACACACACACACATACACTACTATAAAAATTCCAGAAGATTAAACTATAATCGATAGCATAAATCCCAAAGCCATATAAAAATGGGGAAAACGTATTCTTTTTGTTTTATGTGTTTTTTTGAGACAGAGTCTTGCTTTGTCACCCAGGGTGGAGTGCAGTGGTGCCATCTTGGCTCACTGCAACCTCTGCCTCCCAGGCTCAAGTGATTCTCCTGCCTCAGCCTCTCTAGTAGCTGGTATTACAGGTGTGTGCCATTACACCCAGCTAATTTTTGTATTTTTAGTAGAGACGGGGTTTCACCACCTTTGCCAGGCTGGACTCAAACTCCTGACTTCAAGTGATCCACCCACTTTGGCCTCCCAAAGTGCTGGGTTTACAGGCATGAGTCGCTGTGCCCGGCCTGGGAAAAATGTATTCTAAAAACAGCACATTCTCAATACAATTCACTTAGACTACAAAAACTTTCTAACTATTCTTTCCCCTCTAATCCCATCTATACAATATTGCAAAAGCAAACTGATTAATCACAATTAGCTCAGAAAACTTCAGTAACAAAATACAGCCAAAACTCTGGCTTTGAATGGCCTTCCATAATCTTATCCCATGCACATTTCCAACCTCATCTACCAGTACACATAAAACACATACAAAAAGATTTTTTCTGTGCACATGCCCAGGATTCTTTTTCCCCCTCAATCAAGGAATGCTCCTCCCTTCTCTACTCCCATCTTCCCAGTCCTACCTAATACTAGCAATCTTTTCCACTCAACAAACCTATTTGAAGAAGTCATACCACTGGCTACTTATAGTGATAGGAACTAATAATAGCCATACATCATCAGGAAGGAGCAGTCATTTACATTATTTCCCCAATGTACTGTCTTTTTAAATACCTCTCCACGCCAGCTGAGATTTCTCTCTCCCTCCCAGGAACATCATGAATCAATATTTAACCAGTGTAACAATACTTTATTGGAATACGATGTAGAAAGTTACATTGCTTTACACTCAACAAATGCTCATTTCTTGTTAAACAAATAAATGAAGAACTCAGTTTTGTGAGACCAATTAAACTCACATTTTTCCATTTAGAGATAACTCAGTTACAGGCACAACCAAACAACTCTTTAGCTTGTCCCTGCATCTCCTGCCTAAATCAAATCACACCTAAATCTTACCTTGTGTTTCCAAAAGATCTACAGAAGAGATACTCTATTTTATGGTCATTAGGACAAACGAAATGTTTTTTCTCAACCCTACTCCCAATAGCAGCAAACTAGTAACAGCAGTGGTTAAAGGAAAGAAAATCAATAGCAATCTATTAGGCCCCTGGATAGCCAAATGAGTTCCAGAAAGTTGCCCTATATTATTATTATTAACCTGATTCAATCATTTAGAACCAGAGACTTTTATCCCTAATTTTTTAAATCACTAAGGCTTTTTTTTAAATTTAAACACTTGATTGCATCTATGTACTATTTATGAATCATTATAAACATACCCATGCTCAAATTATTTCGGTACAAACAATAATGAAAGTATGGCAGTGCTATCAACAAGAGGAAAAAAGGAGGGGAAGCAAACTGACAGCACTGGCTTGACTCATTTCTGTTGGGAGAACACTGGTACTGAATGGCACAAGCAACTCCAGTGTGAGAGAGCAAGCACATGACTGACTGGGAGGGTGACAGAGGATACCAAAGAAAGGAGAACATCTATAAAGAAGCTTTCCTCTCTGTAGGGGCAGGAGGTGAAGGGATGAGTAGGAATCCACCAAAATCTAATCTAACAGCCTTTACAATACTCAAATGAAAACATGCTACCAGACTTCACACTTTAAGCCAGTTCACATCCTAGCTCTACCACTGAAAATTGAGTGACCTTCAGCAAATTACTTATTCTCTCTGGTTCTTTCAGTTGTAAAATTATAATAATGGTAGCCCACTTAGTGAATACAAACTACATGTTTGACACTGTGCTAGGCACCAGACACATGATATGTCTTCTAATTCTCACAATTAATCTGCCAAATAGTGATTATTTTTCTCATTTTGCAGGAAAGAAAACCCATGTTCTTTCTACCTATGTATAGCCGCTTTCTAGAGGGACAATACTACTACCTGGCCAGGTTGTACTGGGAATTAGAAGTAAATGCAAAGCACTTAGCAAAGACCCAGCACTTGCCTCATATTAGGAGCTCAGGAAATCATTACTGTACGAATACAACCATCATTTGAGTAAGTGCCTTAACTCAACACCAGTGAAATCCCAGAAACCAGTTTCTTCTCACATCATCTACCATAAAGATGACTTTTAACTAGCAGTAGTTTGGGAGAATCCAAAGCTCATCACTTATAACTGCTTAAAATACCAAAGTATCAACCATCCGGTATCCAAAAAAAAAAAAATTTAATACACACACAAATACTGTTTCTTAGTAGAAGCTCAAAACATAAAACTCAAGGAAATAGCCCATTATGAAAGTGATATTTGACTCAATCTAAAGATCAAATATTAAATATTTTACTTTCAAAAGGATTATAGGCCTCAAGGGAGCAGGTGTTAATGAACAAATCTATCTAACCTCCAAAAAATAATTCCCAGAAGCATCTGTTATCCTTAAGTACTTGGCAAACCATTTACCAGAATTGACAACATATTGCCAAAATCTTAGTGGATTTTGCCAGCACTATTCTGCTGATAGGAAAAAAGAGTAATTCAGCTACTTTCCAGCTTAGCAACAAAACAGGCTCTTTTCTTCATTATTACTTTAACGAGTATGTTAATACTGAAAAATATAAAGAAATCACAAATAACCATTTCTGTTTGAAGGAAATTTAAAATACTAAACCCACAACTCTTGCCTTTAATTCTAACAAACTCAAGAAAATCTATGATTTTTTTGAACAAAAAACAAAAATTAAATCTCCAAAATTTAATAACTGAAACAGAGAGGAGGGGGAAAGAGCAGAAACAACAGCTTGAAAGATGCCTCTTGAAAATTGAGAATCCTAAAATCTCAATCTCAAAGTTTAAACTACTGCTTTTAAAAGAAATACTTTATTAATCAATGCTTGGGAATATTTTTTTAAAAAGAAAGAAAACTTCACAAAAACTAACCAGTTCCTGCAATCCTCCATCCATCCATTTTTACCACCACAACAACTAGAATACTTACCAGACAGCACAGTCAACCTCCAGCAAAAGACCTCTAATCACGAGGGTAACTGTGGGGCAAGTGATACAAGAATGGGGAGGGACAAGGGAATAGCTAGAGCGGTCGGTCGGGAGGGAAGGGCAGGAGGGAGGAGACAACTGTAGCTAGCAACAATGAGAAGCTGTGACTCCAAACCACAAAGGCTTCCCACAGAACAGGATATCAGGGAGAAGGCAATTCTTTTTACCAACTACCAGGAACTCGGCACTGACAATTCATGACAAAGTTAAAAAGGTGGAGCTTCCAATTAAAAACAAAGTAAACTTAAGAAACTAACCAAAAGTAACTTGAAAGGACATATCACAAACTTCACTTGAGGCTTAAGACAAACAATCATGAAGCTGTTTCCTGGGCATTCCTGATGACAAAGGTCATCAGACAATAACGTCTGCAGGGTGGCTACTGCTTCTAAAGGGCCAGTCCCCCAAAAAACAGTCCTTTGCACTGCAGTCAAAAGAAGCACAAGAAGACAACATTTTTGTAGTTGTTGACAGAATAATCAAAATAATATTATTGTTTGAATCCCTAATTCAGAATTCCAAGACTGAGCTTAAATTAAATCAAATCATTTTAATAGGCAAAACTCCTCCAACTCTTAAACGAGCCACAGTATTAAAGAAAATTATTATTTAAACTGAGCCACTGGAATCTACTGAGTCAATTTTAAAATGCTTGGGATCTAAAAGTTCTCAACCCCAAAGTCCACAACAGGGAAAGATCTCCACCCTTCTCTCAGGGAAGAGACCTAGTTATATCACCATGAACAAACAGCAGGCAGGATCCCACCCCCAAACATGTGATCAGTCAACCCAGAACTTGCATTTGCAGGCAGGGCACAAAGGCCCCAGAGGACCAACACACACCCTTCTATGTATTACTTGAGATTATAAAACAGCTTTATTGAAAGAGGTTGTTTTATAAGCACACTGATGGGAAAAAAACACAACTCATTAGTAGAATCCCTGCCAAATATGAAGGTTTGTTGTATTTCTACAGGTTGAGAGAAATATATGAGTTGACTAAAAAAAGATTTAAGATTTATTGGTAAAATTTAACAAACATGGGCAATGTCCAAAACTAATTAAGCTCTTGTATTTTAGCAATACAGTATGTTAAACTGAAGTAGTCCTTTGGCAACAAGGAAAGTGCCACACATACATACATACACACACACACACACACACACACACACACACACACCACACACACACACAAAAGATACTGCCACTTTTCTTATTAGCCATTAGCATTCTAACTCAGGTATCCTAGTACCAGGTGGAAGAGGTAGTAATGCCATTTCAAAGTGTGAAACACAAAATTTCTACTGATAAGTGCTGACTGCAAATAAAGATATATAAAAGCTCTTCAATCAAGTCATTAAAATATAGGTATATATTCATTGTGAAACTAATCAAATAAAACTAGAGTACTGGGACAGAGTTACAGAGCTTCAACCCTAATCACAGTTAGATAACATTACTTTTCATGTCTCATCCAGGTAAGGAAGTGATCCACAGGGAAATCTCACTCTAATAGATCGTAATCTCTTCAGAGGCCCCTCAGAAAACACCTCCCATAAAGCTCTCCTATGGTATTCAATTTCTGCTTTGCATAAATTATGTTCAGACATTTCTTATTCCCTCTTCAAGACTGCACAAGAGGTTATGTGCCAAGTAGAAAGAGAACCTTGTATCAACCACTGGGCTTTTCCATTCAAAATATATTGGGTTACTACAGGTTTGTGTCAGATGAGTGTCGAATTGCCTGTAGAAAAGGTTTTGTAGGCCAGGCATGTGGCTCACGCCAATAATCACAGCATTTCGGGAGGCCAACGCAGGAGGATCACTTGAGCCCAGGAGTTTGAGACCAGCTTGGCCCACATACGGAGACCCCTTCTCTCCCAAAAAAAAAAAAAAAAAAAAATTTTTAATTATTCTAGTGTGGTGGCATACACCTCTGGTCTCAGCTACTCCAGGCTGAGGTGGGAGGATCTCTTGAGCCCGGAAGGTCAAGGCTGCAGTGAGCAGTGATTGTGTCACTGCACTCCAGCCTGGGCCACAGAGCAAGACCCCCGTGTCTCAAAAGAAAAAAAAGAAAAAGAAAGAGGCCGGGTGCAGTGGCTCACGCCTATAATCCCAGCACTTTGGGAGGCCAAGGCAGGTGGATCACGAGGTCAAGAGATCGAGACCATCCTGGTAAACAAGGTGAAACCCCATCTCCACTGAAAATACAAAAATTAGCTGGGCATGGTGGCGCATGCCTGTAGTCCCAGCTACTTGGGAGGCTGAGGCAGAAGAATTGCTTTAATCCAGGAGGCGGAGGTTGCAGTGAGCCGAGATCGCGCCATTGCACTCCAGCCTGGGTAACAAGAGCGAAACTCCGTCTCAAAAAAAAAAAAAAAGAAAGAAAAAGAAAAGGTTTTGTGGACATGATTACTAACTACTTCAAGAGGGAGACTGATATTTAGGGTTTCAGTTTATTATTTTTTTAAATAGGGTTTTAGTTTAAATGTTCAAGGATTCTAAAGTTGGAAGACTAGTTACAACAGTACTTAGTAAAACTGTAGTTCAACAAAACTTAACAAGTCCTATTTTTCAAGTACTTTGCAGGGAATATTTAACACCACAACAGGTCCACCTTAGACCATAATAGACAAAGGTCTCTGAAAAAATATAAATATTATTGTCAGGAAGAAACAATTTTTAGGATTTGAGTAAATCAATCAAGAAAAATCCTTGGAGGGTGGTGGGGAAGGTAATGGAAGAGCACAGGCTGAAAAGTCCTATTTGGTCACATCTCATAAGTTTTCATTATTGATCTCCACTAGCAAACAGAGTAGGGTACAACAGGATGTTCAATTTAATGAAAGAACATTTTGCTTCTCTTAAAAGTCATTAAAGAGAAACAGAGGATTTCTCTAAGAAAAACCAAAATGACTCCCTCTGGAGTAATGCCAAAGTCAAACCATCACTGTTTTTTATTTCTGAGATGCTAATGATAATGCTGATGCTGGCAGTAAAGGCAGGAGCTGAGTGGCTCCATAGCAGGAACGAGATTGGAAAATAAGACTCTTTTTTGGGTGGGACCGAGTCTTGTTCTGTCACCCAGGCTGGAGGGTAGTGGCACAATCTTGGCTCACTGCAACCCCCATTTCCCAGGTTCAAGCAATTCTCCTGCCTCAGCCTCTCAAGTAGCTGGGATTACAGGTGGGTGCCACCATGTCTGGCTAATTTTTGTATTTTTAGTAGAGATGGGGTTTTGCCATGTTGGCCAGGTTTGTCTCGAACTCCTGACCTCAAGTGATCCGCCAGACTCAGCCTCCCAAAGTGCTGGGATTACAGATGTGAGCCACCATGTCCGGCCAATAAAAGACTCTAGATTTTTTTTTTTCTTTTTTTTGAGACAGAGTCGCGCTCTGTCACCCAAGCTTGAGTGCAGTGGTGCAATCTTGGCTCACTGCAACCTCCGCCTCCCGGGTTCAAGCAAATCTCCTGCCTCAGCCTCCCAGGTAGCTGGGACTACAGGCATGCGCCACCACACCCAGCTAATTTTTGTAATTTTAGTAGAGACGGAATTTCACCATGTTGGCCAGGATGGTCTCTATCTCTTAAACTCATAATCAGCACGCCTCAGCTTCCCAAAGTGCTGGGACTACAGGCATGAGCCTCCATGCCTGGCCAAAAGACTCTAGATTTTAGAATGTAGTGACAAAATTTGGGGACTTTTTGTTTTTTTAGGAGACAGGTTCTTCCTAAGTTCACCAGGCTGGATGCTATAGTGTGATCATAGCTCACTGCACCCTTGAATTCCTAGGTTCAAGCAATCCTCTAGCTTCAGCCTCCCGAGTAGCTGGGACTACAAGTACACACCATGCCTAGCTAATTTTTTTTTTTTTTTTTTTTTTTGAGACAGAGTTTCGCTCTTGTTGTCCAGGCTGGAGTGCAATGACACAATCTCGGCCCACTGCAACCTCTGCCTTCTGGGTTCAAGCGATTCTCCTGCCTCAGCCTCCTCAGTAGCTGGGATTACAGGCGTGCACCACCATGCCCGGCTAATTTTGTGTTTTTAGTAGAGATGGGGTTTCTCCATATTGGCCAGGCTGGTCTTGAACTCCCAATTTCAAGTGATCCACTCACCTCAGCCTCCCAAAGTGCTGGGATTATAGGCATGAGCCATCACACCCGGCCACCCAGCTAATTTTTAAAAAATTTTTGTAGAGACGGTCTTAGTATGTTACCTAGGCTAAGACTTTTAAATAAACTGGAGGACTGGGATGGGGATGAGTGGGGAAGAGACTGCTTTATATCACGTGAAAGTGCTTTAGCATTTGATCCTGGGGAGAGGGGAGCTTAATTCAGAGCTGTTAAACAGGAGTGCTGGCAAATAAAACTAAGAGATGGACTTGATCATAGTTAATAGGGAACCTAAAAGAAAATGTTCTAGCCTTTGACTCTAGGTTGTAAGGAAGAATATACTGTGAAGCAGATGAAAAACAGGGAAAACTAACTAATTTGAGTCTAGTGAGGTTTAACTTTTTTTTTTAAATCTTGGTTTTTGTTTTTGTTTTTGTTTTTTTGAGACACAGTCTTACTCTATCGCCCAGGCTGGAGTACAGTGCCATGATCTCGGCTCACTGCAACCTCAGCCTCCCAGGTTTAAGCAATTCTCCTGCCTCAGCCTCCTGAGTAACTGGGATTACAAGTGCACGCCACCAAGCCCAGTTAATTGTTGTGTCCTTAGTTCTTAAGACAGGTTTCACCACATTGGTCAGGCTGGTCTCAAACTCCTGACCTCAGGTGATCCACCCACCTTGGCCTCCCAAAGTGCTGGGCTTACAGTGTTTTTGTTTTTTGTTTTTTTTGAGACAGAATCTGCTCTTGTTGCCCAGGCTGGAATGCAGTGGCATGATCTCAGCTCACTACAACGTCCACCTCCCTGGTTCAAGCGATGCTCCTGCCTCAGTCTCCCGATTAGCTGGGATTACAGGTGTGTGATACCACATCCGGCTACTTTTTGTATTTTTAGTAGAGATGAGGTTTCTCCATGTTGGTCAGGCTGGTCTCAAACTCCTGACCTCGTGATCCACCCTCCTCGGCCTCCCAAAGTGCTGGGATTACAGGCATGAGCCACTGAGCCCCGCCGTATTTTTTTTTTTTTTTTAAAGACAGAGTCTCACTGTTACTGAAGCTGGAGTGCAGTGGCTATTCACAGGTGCAATACCACTACTGACTCTGATTTTTATTCTGAGGTTTATTCACAATGTTGGCAGAGCATGTGTACCTTAAACAGCTGGTTGTTTCACTAAAGTATACATTACTGAGAAGGAGAATATTTCAGA